ATTTTAAACCCATGGTGCATAAGGGTGCACTGCTGGTTCCTGCCTGTGTGAAGCTTTGTCCTGGCCCTGGTCATGCTGTTCAGCATGTTTACCTCCAACTGAAGTGACAGTGGCCCATGTGCCTCAGAGTTCTGCTCCACTCTGGTGCCCGTAAGGCCCCTCTGCTCACTGGGTGGGTGCTGACCAAATGGGAGGGCCTGAAAGGATTCTTAGCCCACTTCAGCCTTGCCTTTCCTCTTGCCTGGATAAACGGCAACCACTACAGTGATTCAGTGCATGAACAACTGGCCTTAATAAGTTGCTTTTTTCCACTCAGTTCTTAAACTCTCAAGTGTCTGCCGATCCCCAGGCTCTGGGCTCCTCGGGGTGGGGTGAGAGCCATCCATATTGTCTCCACATGCCCTCTGAGGAGCATGTTACAGTCTCTGCACTGTGGGGTCCTCACTTCCTTTGGTTTGATGTTGCTGAGACCTAAAAACATAAGCTTGGAAACCCACTATTAAAATGTAGCCCAATGGCCATGTCATGCTCCTTCATTGCGGGCTGCAAGGCAGAGTGCAGGGCTGGTTCCTGCACAGCTGAACATGCAGGGTGGGGCGGGGGCAGCATGTGCTCAGCAGAGCTGGGGTGCAGACAGCGAGGTGTCAGAAGGTGAGCACACACCACTGGGCACCAGAACTTGCACTCCAGCAGGGGCAGCCAGCCCAGGGTGCACCCTTAGCAAGGCAAGGTAGCAGGGAATCTCAGGAGCAGCCAGGAGCTGACTTCTCAGGTCCTGAGGAGGCGCTGCTGAGGTGGGTTGCTTGGCCTGCTGGGCCTTGCCTACCCTGGCATCCTTGGCCACACGGGGGAGGAGTGGGTGAAGGCCGCTATGAGGACAGGCTGGCCATGACTGCTGGGACTTCTAGGGACCCTAGAGCTGGCTGCTGGATGGGAGGCAGGATGAAGTACCCATAGGGCTTTGCACAGAAGGGTAATTCTGAATAAAAATGTAAATTTACCCCAATTGATATGTTTTGAAAAAAATTTTTTTCCGTGCCTGCTTCCCGGTCGTACACTCTTTACAGGCTATGTAGAAGTGGAAGTGGATTTGTGTGTCCCAAAGAGGTTGACAGATCACATTCAGAGGGCGCATTGGTGATTCTGTGCTGCTGTGCTCGGGTTGAAGACGGCCATTGGTGTTGTTGGCATCCGTGGTCTCTTGACATGAATTGAGATGGAGGCTGGTGGATGGCATTCTTTTCCTGAAGGATTCCTACATCACCTTCGAGCTGAGTCTCCCTGACTTCAGAGGGCTCACCTTTCCAAATACTATCTCAGGCAGTGTGAATGTTTGTGTGTGTGTGTACATGAGGCAGAGGTCTGTATCACACCGAGAGAGCTTCCAGGCCAGGCTCTGGGCTCCCCAAGGTCATCTCGAAATGAAGGAAGGGAAAGGAGAGTGTCACAGTAATCCAAAGCTCAAGGGGCCTTGTATAATCACAGCTTTCCCTGGAGCCTAACCTTAACATTAAGTGTGCAGTTTACACTACTGTGCTCCACAAGTGTTTTCGATCAGAAATTTTTTTTTTGAGATAGTATGTCATTATGTAGTTTATTCAGGTCTAGACTCACTATGGTAGCGTAGGCAAGCCTTGAACTCACCTCTGCCTCAGCTTCCCAAGCTGGGATTACAGGTGTGTGCCACCACATCCAGCTTAGATCTCTTTTTAAACTCTTGGAAAAAACAACAGCAGAAGAAACATTGGTTCCCCACACCCAGCATTCCCATCAAATGCCACTAGGAAACCAAACAGAAAATAGCACGCTGTGTAGGTCTAGGGTTCATTGTGATTTTGTTTTATGCAAACAAACATAAATTTCTGTTGTTTACAAAAAGCGCCTCTGGGCCGGGGATTTATAGCTTAGTGGATAAGCTCTTGGCTGGCAAGCAGGAGGATGAGAGTTTGGTCCCTGGTACCAAAAAAAAAAAAAAAAAAAAAAAAAGTGCCTCCTATCATTAGAGATCAGATGGATTCTCACCCTTCCCTTTTGACATGAAAATAAGTCTCTGAAGCAAAAAGTAAAAGCAGTATTTTTTTTCTTTTTCTCTTTAGTATATTGTTTTATAGCTCAGAAGCAAGGCTTTGAGCATCTTATGGCCTAAGTTTGGAATCAGCTCACTATCTGATAAGTTGTAAACTATTTTCTAGGCTTGCTCTTAGGTCAGAAAACAAAGCAGTAAAATTGATTCAGAAAGCTCTTTTAAAAATTACTGTGCTTAGGGTTTGCAGAGCAAAGCCTCAGAATTGTGCAGACAGTGTAGTGACAGGTCCCTGAATGGTGTGGCAGGCCCACTTGCAGCTTCAGAGACGTCAGGGGTTGATGCTGACACCAACCTCGGAGCAGGACCAGCCAGGACAGAATGGAGCTCAGCCCACAGCTGCGCAGCTGACCGCAAGCAGGGTAGAGGCCTCACGCTCCTCAATCACTTTTTCTCAGGTTATGTTATTATATTCTTCCTATTTTTTGGTTCCTATTCCTTGAAAGTCAGTCTTAGGATATGAGAAAGAGAAGACATGCATTTTATACAGAAATTTACTTTTACAATCATGACACAACTTTACTTTTGTTATACTCCTTAATGCAATCACGGTAAAAGGAAAATAATAGAGCCTGAGGTCAAACGATTGTTGTTTCTATTGTAAACTCTCACTCTTGCGCCCAGCAGTCACCCGTGGGGTGGGGGATCACGGGCTTTCCCTGGAGTGATGCAGCCTGAAAGCCATGGCACCTCCTGTCCAGGGAGCCAGAGTTCCAACAGCTCTCACAGCAAGCAATGAGCCAGTGGAGGCTGAGAGTATTAACAAACAAGTTTTTATTAGCTATTACTACAAAGGACATCACATGGGGCAGGAGGGGATAAGGGGTGATGTTTGAATAAATAAGTAAGTGATAGTCTTTTCAACCAAGATGGGGCAGGAGGGGTAAAGCTTATAAATACCACTACTCTATTCAGCTGGCAGGCATGGAAATACATTTCTTACAGCATTTCCACAGGAAATGGTCATTTTTATGACATTGTGAATCATTTTACAGTTACCTATGCTATATTAACTAAAATAAAGGGATTACTATTACACATTTCAGTTGGAAGGTCACTTGAGCTTAAGAGGCAATTTTTAGAGAGAAAGATGAGTCTTCTGAATTGTTTGGCTCAAAAATATGCACTGCTCAAGGGAGCTTAATACTAAAAACCTACTAAAATGAACTTCCTTTTAAAATGAATTCCAAATCCAATAAACTTGGCCCTCTGAGTAGTGGGGCCATTAAGGGCTCTGCCTCAAGCCTGGGCAGGTTCCCGGCTGCTTGGCGGTGAGGCTGGGGCCTCTCTCAGCCCTGAGAGCTGAGGCTCCCCTGTGGTAGGCGGCGGTGGGTAGTCCTGGTGCCTGGCAGGAGGTGGTGGGTAGTCCTGGGGCCCAGCGGGCGGTGGTGGCATTCAAAGTGCAGGAATGAAATACTCTCGGGGGCCGAGCGGGCCTGGAGGCCTAAATGGCACAGGTCCCGGCAAGAACTGGCAGGTGTGCAGCGGCAGGTCGCGGCATCCAGGTTGGATGCCAGGCGCATACTCTCTTAAGCCCAGTGGTGGGCCCATGCAAGGGACTGGAAAGCAAGAGGGACACACGGACACGTACTGAGGAGCAGCCCAGGTCTGTTCAAAGCATTTCCCTTCCCCCAAACCAGGAAGCTGAGTGATGCACTGGACTTCACAGACAAGGAAAACTGAGGCTCAATATGGCTCAACCACAGCCTGACCCTCCCTTCTCCCAATGCCACACACCCGTGGCGGCCCGGGTGACCACCCTGGTGGGACTGGCACTTCGGCTCTGTGGGAAGGGCCCTTCTGGTCCAAGCAGTTCTGGAGGCTGCACTGGGCTCAGAGTGCTGGGCCTCGTGCTCCAAGTCTGGAGGGCTACAGCTGCCCATCAGGACAGGAAAAGAGAGAACAGGCTAGGTGGTGGTGCTAGCCCAAGTGTCCTACGGAACAGTGGCGCTGGCCTAGGAGGCATCGGCCCAGGCCCAAAGGGCCTGCAGAACGGTGGTGGCTGTGGCGGCCCATAGCCCACAGGGGGTGGCATGGGGCCTCGCAGGAATGGAGGCCCTGGATAGGCTGGGGGCCCCTTCGTGGTCATGCTCACCTGAGAACAGAAGTAGGCCCAGTTCCGAACTCGGCAGTGACACCGGGTGCCCATCCCGAGAGGAGTCAAGGGATCCCTGGACACTGCCTGCCCCCACGTGAGCAGCACATCACGTAGCTAGCATGGCCCCTGTCCCCACTTGTGTGCAGAGAGATGAGCTCCGGAGGTGCCAGCGGGGCACTGTGCCAGCTCATTGCACTCCTGCCAGCACAAGTGTGGCCCTGGGCACAACAGGGGCAACACAAGAGCTCCCGGGGTCCAGGGGTCCTGGGGGAAAACAAGGAGCTGCCTCAGCCAGTGGCACTGCACAGGGAAGGGCTGGCGGAGGCGCCTGTGCCTGGGCTGACAGGAAGGCAGGCCAGTGAGCTCTGACCATCGAAGGCAGCCCCATGCAGTGTGAAGGCTGCAGAGGCAGCAGCATCAGGACCCAGGAGGCCCATCAGCCTGGGCCACCTGGGGTAGGGTTCACAGGTCCCTAGAAGCAGCTTCCCACTCCTGGCAGAGCTGACGCCCACCTTATTCCAATCATTGCAAGGGGTCTGCCTAGCACAGACCCTGAGGACCCTCACAGCTGCTCCCAAAAAACAAGAACACACAAGTGTGGCGACGCACACCGGTCATCCTGCACTCGGGAGGCTGAAGCCGGAGGACTGCTAGGGAACTGCAGATCTGTTCTGGGTATTGTGAGGTCAAGGCCAGTTTGAGCTGCATAAGGAAACCCTGACTCAAAATAAGTACCAAACAAAAGACACAAGGCAGGGGCGTGAGGTGTGCTTTGCCCCAGCACTCAGCACACAGCCCGAGCCTTAGCAAAGGCCCGAGTTAGATGGTGACTGAGACAGTGGGGTCGCCATGCCCAGGCCAGCTGGAGAACAGAGGGGAAACCGAGAGCGCATGGAGCAGCGCGGGCGCAGGCACGAGCCCCAGGCTCACTTTGCTGTCATCCATGTCCTTTTTCCGGGAGGAGCCGCGGGAGCTGCTGTTGGCACGGGGCCAGGGCCGGGATCTGGGGGCAGAGAAGGCACTCAGAGGACTCTCCCAGGACGAGGACGAGGACAATAAGAGGCCACGGGCACGCCCTCAGAAGTGCCCTCGGGGACAGGGCAGAGCCCTGCGACTGGCCCTGGAGGGAGCAGAGGCTTGGCTGCCCTGACAGGCAGCTGTAAGGCCCGTGGGAGGCGGGACGCCAGGGAGCCCTCGCACAGAGCCAGCAGGGCCCCTGGCTCAGGGAGCAGGCATCAAGTAGGAGTGGGAGGGGGGGTCGAAGGAGACCTCTGAGCCTGCGGGGCTCCACCTGGTCAGCACTTCCCAGACTGGGGGAGCCGGGAAGGCTGTGCTGCGGCAGCCCCAGCCAGAGGGAGGCTGCTTTAGGTCTCAGGTTGTGGAGGAGGAAAACAGGGACCCAGAAGACTGAGCCCACACTCTGCAGCCATGCGCTTTGGTAGCAGCACAGGGAACCAGCAACACGCAGACCTGTCTAGCTTGGGAGCGGCCCCTGGTGGCCCGGAGGTGAGTGGTGAAGAAAGTGCGCCCACTCATTGAACATTGTGCAGAGAGGGAGAGGGCTACACCGCGGGCCTCCACCATGCCACAGCCAGAGGCAGTTGGGAGTGACCGGGTGGGCGACGGCACCCAGGACCCTGCTCCCGCACTGCAATCCAGGTGGCCCCGCACGCAACCCAGGGCTAAGTGAAAACCCGAGCCGGGAGTGCCCAGGTTCTGTACCAGAGCTCAGGGAACCGTGCCCAGGCAAGGCAGCATGGTATCCCTGAGTCCGGGCTGCGAGGCCCCGGAGAGGCTCACCGAAGTCGGCTCTCAGAATGTTGCAACGTGCAAAGATCAGGCTCACAGAGGGCAGCCTTATGGGGGGACTCTGCGCCTGGGGGAGGGGAGCACTCGCCACCGCTCATAGGGGATGGGCCAAAGAAGCCATTCTGGCTCAGGGGACCTGTGGCAACAACGCACGTGCTGGTTACCACTTCTCTGCAGTGGCTAAGTTCCCCAAGTCACACTCAGAAGGACAGAGTGCCCACCTCTGTAGCCCTCCTCTGTAGGGCGCATTCTGCACTCCAGGCCAGTCCTGCATGGGCTTGATGATCTCAGGCTCCTCGTGAAGCATGGCCAGCTTTTGGTTCATCTCTACTAGCCTGCACACAGAGTGGGGCGGTGGGTGACCCTGAGCGGACGGAAACGTGAGCGCCACCCGTCGCGCCAAGCACTGCTAACCTCTGCTGCAGGTTGGCGGCCTGCCGCTTCTCCTCTGCCATCAGGCACTCTGCATTGCGGGCTTTGAGCTGTGGAGACACGGGGGGGGGGCCAGCTCAGCACAGCGGCTGGGTGAAGCTGGAGATTTCAAGGCAAGGAGGAGGCTCTTACCCAATTCTCGTGGGCTTTTTTCTCGTAAGTGCCAAGCTGCAAGAGAACAGGGCAAGACTCAGGTTGAGGGACGAGTCACCGGGGCTGCAGCCCTCCATGACGTCTGTGTGGGGGATTAATGGATGCTGTCACCACAGCTCACTCTATTCCTTACCTGGTTTTTAAATGAGCACTCTGTTTTCTGTACGTTTTCCTCCATTTTCTGGATTCTGTGCCTAAAAATAATACTTAGCAGTTAGAATCAAATAAATTCTGAAACAATCTAACCATGTCTGACCTTTAAAGGCTTCATCATACAGAAACATTTCATAACGTGATGAGTGCAGCGTGAACCTTAGTTTCCTGATTTTTTATTTAATGCCTAGAGATTATGAGTTGATAACTTGTAAATTTCCTTAACTGTCCTTGCAATAACATTTGCAAAATAATCTGGCTAAGGGTACCTTCCCCATAAAGGTTTTCACTTCAGGGGCTGGGGATTTAGCTCAGCAGCATAAGCACCTGCCTTGCAAGCAGGCGGTCCTGAGTGTGATCCCCGGTACTGATAAAAAAAAAAAAAAAAGGTTTTCCCCTCAAATTATAGCCACAAGAAGTGACCCAAAATGCTGCCCTTGGTCTGTCGGGGTCCTGAGATTCTGGTGGGTGTGGACATGTGACAGAAGCAGGCCGCTTTCCTAAAAATGGGCACAGGACACATCTGCAAAGGAGCTTCGCTGTTAACAAACTTCTGTCTATTAATGTAGAACCCCTCCCCATGTGAGTTAAATACATTCCATTCTTGGACTGTTCATGTGCTTCTGTGCCCATCTCTTCTATGTAACAAAGCAACTCAGCCCAGTTCCTCTGTCTCGGACGCCACACTCTGTGGCCAGCACCACCTCCTCATCTGCAGGCGACAGCCGCTGGTCTCGCTGCTGCTGTTCAAATTCCTCCGGACTCAACTTCCTAGGAGAAAGGCAGCTGCCAGGGGCAAGCTCGACCCACAGGCCACTTCCCCACCCAGCAGCAGGCACAGGGTCTCAGGAGGGAAGTCAAGCTCCAGGCTCTGGGCCATTTGCTTGTGTTCTTATATTCTCTCACCTCTACGTGTAATTGTCTAATCAGCAAACAGAACAAGCTAAGAGCACAGCATGCGCCAAGCTCTAGCTGCCTGTGTGGGAGCTGAGTGTACCCTGAGGGAAGCCAGGATTGTCCAGCAGAGCTGCTGGGAAAGCAAAAGGCGGAGTCTACCTCCCCCCTTCCCCCCCATGCTGTCTGGGAAGAGCTGTTGCTCTAGACATATGCCATGATAAGCACACAAGCAAGGCCAAATGGGTGGACGGGAGCCTGTGGCCCCAGCCACAAAGCAAAATGTGGGCCCCAGAGGCCAGTGCTGCCCTCCTTCAACCCACACATTGAGGACAATGCCAAAGATGCTGAACTGAGCCCTCCAAAAATCCCTAGGCTTTAAGAAACAAGCAGTGGAGCTGAGGCTAGAGAGGCAGGGACGCTGGGCCGAACTGGTAGCTGGATGATGGTGATGGCGGACAGGCAGGAGCACCCTCAGGTCACCATCACAGGAAGCCAGCAGCACCCTGGGCACCAAGTTTCCTCTATGATCACCGCACATCGAAGCTGCTAGGGAATCAGAAGTGACAGGAATGGCCAGCATGAGACATGGGGCAAAAATCTCTCGGACTCACTTCTGCAGCTCCATCTCTCTCTGCTGGCACAGCTCGTTCAGGATCTCCACCTTCTGCTGCAGCATCTTGCACTCCTCTTCCAACCCGGCCTTGGCTGCCTGCAGCGTGCCACAGTCCTCATTCAGCTTCTTGATCTGGTCTGGGAGGTGAGACACATCACCAAGAGCACTGCCAAAGACACAGAACCAGGCTCCCAGCATCCCTGCCTCATCCATGCCAGTGCTCAGCCTGACCACCATGTGGTCAGGGACCTACCTTCCAGGTCACATTTGGCAGACAGGGAGGCTTTCAGCTTCACTTGCAGGAGTTTGAGATCCTCCTGAACCACAGATATTTTGGCTTGTGTCTGAAAATTGTGAGAGAGAGGCACAGGCTTGAAAGTGAGGCACAGTCAGGACTCGTGGGCCCCTGAGGAGCTCTGTGAAAGGACTTAACCTGGGAGGCGTCCATCAGCTGGTTCATGCGAGTCTTCAGCTTACTCTCCTCACCTACAAAGAGAACAAGTGTGGCTGTTTCTTCCTGTGCCGTTTCTAACACTGTTGTCTTGACTTCCACAAAACTAAACTAATGCTCATCAAACACTGTAAAGAAAAACAATTCACCAACAGAACTGACACACTGACTTTCATGACCACTGCGCCCTTAGATTTTGTGAGCTCTTGCCAAGACAGCATGCCACCTGGGCTGTGGGTGAGCAAGCCTAGCTCTGCCACACGATGGTCTAGGGGGAGCTGGCCGGCGTGGGACCCTGAGCACACCCTGCAGCTGGGGCGGTGCCCTGACCACTTTTCTCATCTCAGACCTTGCTGCTCTCCAGCCTCTGCCCTCACAGCCTGGGCTGTGGCTCCCCCATCCCCATACTCTAGGTGACCCTGGCCAAGGGCCTGAGAACCGCAGAACAGCAGAGGCCGTGAGTGTGGACACAAGTGTCATCTCCAGGAAGCTGAGAAAGTTTCTTCTCTGGCACAGAGGCCAACACAAAGGCAAAAGGCTCCAGCGTATACATCCGGTTCTCAAGGGGTGGAAAAGCAGCTTTCCCCGCTTGCCTGCTGCTTCTGCACCCCAGTGACCCAGACATAAGTATGAATTATTCAGATGTTGGGAGCCATTGAAGCCGGAAACCGACCACACGTGCAGGGCCAGGGCATGGCTGGCCCAAGAACAAAGAGCCCCTGGGGCTGCCATGTGAAAAAGCTGCCTCAGCCCAGAGAACACCAAGCCCCAAGTCAATCTGAACAGTAGGCTGCTAGGACAACAGGGTGTCACGTGACATTAAGTTGCTAAAAGATATAAATAAACGCCCCTGCAGTGAGGGGCCAGTTCCTTTCTTCCCATCAGGAGGGTTAAGGTCTCCACATGACCCCAGATTTGTCTGTCTATTTTCTCATCCTCTTGGGTCCTTCACACACAAGAATTGTAACCAACAAAGAAGGAAACTGGGGCCTCCTAGAAGAACCTAAAGAGTTGCATGAGTCGGTCAGGGCAAGAAGAAACTCAGCTGAGAAGCGGTATCCATGTATGGAATTAAAGACAAAAATGCTTAGGAGACTGAGGTAGAAAATTTGCTGTGGGTTTGAGGCCAGTGTGGGCTACACAGTGAGTTCAAGGCCAGCCACTACATAGAAACCTTGTCTAAAATAACAATAAAGAGAAGAAGACAAAAAAAAGAAGGGCCCTTGAAGGGCTGGGGATTTAGCTCAGTGGCACAAGCCCCTGCCTGGTGAGTGCATGGTCATGAGTTAGATCCCTGGTTTAAAAAAAAAAAAAAAAAGGGCCCTTGGGCCCTCCCACTTCTCCATTGGCCAATTCACCTGGCTCACATCTGCCTGGACCTGGACCCTCAGATTCTGATCCACTCTCCAAATGATTCAGCTCCATGATGCAGTTGGGCAGAGCCTAGCAGAGAAGCGAGCGGCAGTTAAGAGCCTCTCCATCCTCACAGTGGGTTTGTTTCCTGAGTGTTCACGAACAGGCTGGATCAGCACGGTAACTTACACCTATGCTATCATCCTTATTAGGTAGAGTGGCTTCCAGATCCCGCTGAGACTTCTCCAAGGTCCTGATTTGCTCGCTGAGTTCGGCATGCAACTTCTTCCAGTCTTCAACTTACTTCACATGCAAGGGTCCCTGTGGACTGAGGACTCCACAGGACCATGCAAGTGGGATGGGGAAGCAGGAGTCGTGTCCCTCCTTGTCCCATCGCGGAGGCTAAGACTTGGCTCAGGACCCCAGAGCCCGGCTTCCACCCTGAGCTGTCAAGGAAGCTGACCCCACCCATCAAGTCTTTCTGAAAAATGCCTGCTGACTCCAATGTCTGACTTCCAGATGGCACACGTGGGCATGTATTGCTGGTGCTTAACAAATTCCCACTGGCATGAACCACTGCAGGGCATGCAGGACTGTCCATACCACCTAATGGGACTATCCTGTGTGTCCCCCCGCAGGACATGTGTGTCCCATTCAAATGGGCGCTGCCGGCAGCTAGCCATGGGAATTCTGGCCTCATTGTGGGTGTGTTGAACCCAGATCCCTGATCTAACCTTCCAATGGCCAATGTGAGGCATTAACTATCAGAGGAGGCTTAGCAAAGCCATCCACTGTTTTAGGTAAAATTGGGGTTCAATGTGGTCTAGGGAAAAAAATCAGCTTAAAGAGCTGAGGGAGATCCTGCAGCAAAGATGGCAGATAGATAACAACTGGCTACTGAAGCTCCTTGAGATAGTCAACTTAGAATTGAACAAAATACAGAGTGGGGAGCCCCAAAGAGAGGGAGATGAATTCTCTCCTCCCAAGAAGAAATTAACATGACTTGCAAACCATCTGAGGCCCCGCTATGACTGGCTGATACTGTGACTTATCGGGGTCGCACTGCACCCTGCCAGGGTCCCGCCATGACTTACCAGGATCCTGCCATGCACTGCTGGGTCCTTCCGTGCCTTGCCTGGTCCCTGCCACGGCTTGCCAGGTTGCTGCCATGCCTTGCCAGGTCGCCACCACACCTTGCCGGGGTTCCACTACCACTGGCTTGGGTCCCGCCGCGACTTGCCAAGCCATTGGAGTTCCCGTCGTTTCGACTCACTGGAGGCACAGTTATATTGATATGGAGGGTCTGCAAGCTGAAAGGAGAGCTGAGTTGGCGGGGAACCTACATAGACCTGTGGTGAGTGACAGGAGTGGAGCCATTCCATAAATAGGGGGGCTCTGGCGGACGACATTCTGGGACCTGGCAGGACTGGCAAGTACAAGGGGCAGCAGTGACTTCAGTCAATTGTCCCCTTCCTGAATGGGATTGGTGGAGTGAGGTAGGCCTGGGTCATGTGAACCAGCTGAGACCCAATAAGTTATCTGAGGTCAAGTCCCTGTAGCGGTGTCGCACTCTAACCACACTGGCCCAGTGGGGCCTCGGAGGTTTGGCTGGTCTGGAGGGGCCATGCAAAGTAATACAGTAGTGCAGGCCACAGCAGCTTGACTGATCTGGAGGGGAGGGGCCAGCATACGCTGTCCCTGTCTGCAACTCACTAGCACACTGCAGTGTGAAGGGTCATCTAGCTAACGTGCTTCAGAAGAATTGTAACCAATAAAGAAGGAAACTAGGGCCTCCTGGAAGAAGCAAAAAAGATGGGAAGATGAAGCAACAACAAAAAGCCCCCAGGCCCCAACCCTGAGAACACTGACCCAGGACAGGTAAATACAAAGGAGAATGAGAACAGCAAACACGCAATATCAGACACAGCGCCAGCGGACATAAAGAGATATATTCAGGACCTCATAGACGAGTTCAAAAGTGAAACGTTTAGCCAAATAAAGCAAGATATAAGAAGATTAATAAAAGAGATACTAAGCACCCCTCAGGCAGACACAGACAGAAGAAGGGAGGAACTCAAACACAGGAGAGAACCATTTGATGAAGAATATAAAAAAATATAAAACACATGAAGCAGATTCAAAGAGATCACTAGGAAATTAAAAACTCTATGGAAAGATGGCAAATCAGCTTGAAAGAAACTAAGGATAGATTATCCAAACTGGAGGACAATTTTGCAATGTGGGAGTATGAAAGGGGAAACTTTTTTAAAATAACAAGGAAACAAGCAGTAACGATACAAAGGCTAGAAGATGCCAGAAGGATCTATAACCTGAGAATAAAGAATGTAAGTGAAGAAGCTGGGATACAAACAAAGGAACTACAAAGGTTATTCACAGAAATAATCAAGGAAAACTTCCCAAACATAGGAAAAGGAAATGATATTCTGATATATAAGGCATACAGAACTCTAGTCACCTACAACCAAAACAGAGCTACACCCAGGCATATAATAATCAAGATCCCAGAAATTCAATATAAGAACAGAATATTAAAAGCTGTTAGAGACAAGAAACAGATAACCTACAGAGGAAGGCCCATCAGAATAATGGCAGACTTCTCGACATAAACCATCAAGTCAAGAAGAGCCTGGAGCAGAATATTCCAAGCCTTGAAAGAAAATAACTTCCAACCCAGATTGATATACCCTGATAAACTGTCTCTAGAAATTAATGGAGAAACAAGATTCTTCCAAGACAAAGAGGAACTTGGGAAATTTGCAACCACCAATACAACTCTATAGAGAATACTCCAGGGCATTCTAGAAAGAGAAAAAAGTACTAGGACTCTAGGAACAGTGGCACAGAGGCCTCAATGAATAGAGCAGAAAACAGAAAGAAGAAGATAAGCAGACAATGGATGGCAAAAAAAAAGAGCAAAACAGAAATGAGGCAGACAAGATTCTATTCAAAACTCATATGCTTGATAGTATCAAGTCTGAGAGTAGGCAACTATACTGAAGATGACAAGACTCAATGAAACACTTTCTGGTTTGATAACTGCCAGTTTTTGAAGTTGTATACTGCATACAAAGTTGTGTTTTTATTAATACTGTTATGTACTGACATATTCAATCGTACTATGTCTGATGATATAGCCAGTTCTATGGGAGATAACAAGAGACAACACAGAAACTATGGTAGAATGATTTGTACAGTGGTCTTATTTTTTTTTTGTTTCATGTGTTTATAGGAATATGTTTTGTTTTGCCTTGCTTTGTTTTGTATTTCTCCCTCTAATATAGAAAGGATAGAAATACATGTTAAGACTCATGCATGTGTAGAAACTATAAACAGTTTATGAGAACTGAACATTTGACACATGATGAAATGAAGAAAAAGAGACACTAAAATACCCAGTGCTGATCCTGAAGTGTCATAATGTGAAACCCAGCAATAGTATTATTCTTTGTTCAGAGTGATATTAGCCTGCTTGGGTTTATTCAATATCAACATAATTGAAGAGATGGATAACTGCATGTATGTTTAAGTGTGTAGGGTTGATAACCATATTTCTAAGTTTCTGTTGGATAGTTGAACAGAACTGGTTGCAATCTCACTGTTTGAATCCCCACTTTATAAGCTCCACTTTACTATCTTCAATAACTATTTGTAAGGAGACAATCTGTAATCATCAACTAGTGATTTCTTACTGTTTATTTTTTTCTTTTAAATTATGTATTATTTCTACCCATTTTCTGTTTTGTTTAGTCTTTCTTTAAATAAAAAAAAAAGAGCTGAGGAAAAAAACTGAAATGAAGAGTTTCATGGTACCCTCAAGCTTTGGGGTGACCACACAACATAGTATGAAGAAATGTTCAAGCAAACCACGGAAAATGAACAGCTTTTCTTGTAGCATGAAAACAAAAAAGCCTCCAAAGGGCTGGAGATTTAGCTCAGCAGCATAAGTGCCTGCCCGCCAAGCACTGGGTCATGAGTTCAATCCCTGGCACCAAAAAAAAGCTCCAAAATCACTTTAAGCATTTTCTTGTATGAATGGTAAGAATGCTGGGTGTGGTGGATGCCTGTAATCCCAGCACTTGGGAGATTGAGGCAGGAGAGGAGAGTTTAAGGCCTGCCTGTGCTACAAAGTGAGTTCACAGCCAGCCTGAACTGCATAACAAAAGCCAGTCTCAAAAAGACAAAACCAAAACAAAACAACACAAAAAGAGTGTTTCTGGGGGAACAGAAAAATCTCGTGTGCAGAATTTCTCAATATTTATGACAATCCAGGCTCAAGGGGTGACCCTAACCCACCGTTCTTTTAACTGCAGGTTGTGTGTCATGACTTCCCGCCAAAGAGCATGGTGCACAAAGGGCTGAAAATGGGCAACTTACCAGGTCTGTGCTGAGCAAAGGACCAGGCCACACAGGAGGCGGGAAGCATGAGAACTCTCCTCACTACATTTCCACTTAGCGGATTTTAAAACTATTCGAAAGGCACAGAGTCTACTGTGAAATAAAACCAGTTTACACAGACTACTCAACTGGACCAGTTTCTTAGTGACTCTGTGTGTTCTGGAGGACTCAGCTATGAAATTGTCCAAGATTCAGGATCAAAGCCCTTCCCATGCCTATAAAAAGGTCCTACTGGGTTAGTACTAAAAATCCCACAAAATGGGTACAGGCATGTTCAGTTCTGCTATTCCTAATCTTAAGGAGTTAACAGCATGGGAACAGTTCAGCTAATTCACGAAATAGCTAAAAATACAACTGTAGTAACACGCAGCAGCAGAACTCACCAAATCCTGATTTTTCACATTTCGCTTGCTCTCACAGTTGAATATAACATGAAGAGTTTTGGCAACATCAGTCAGAAATTTATAGCTTTCTTCAAGCATCTTGCTTTCAGCCTACAAGAAAAGATATTAAAAGTAACAATATGTTTGTTTTGATCAATTCTATTATACCTGATGATATAGACAACTCAATTTGAAAATAGCAAGAGGCACAATGATAACCACTTTTGATCACCTGGTATTCTATTTTTGCATCACGTGCTATGCCCACCCTTCTGTTCTAACTGACTCTATTTTGCTTAGTCACATTTGTTTTTATTCTCTTCAAAAAAGTAATAAGAACCTTGAGAGTAATAAAACCCTAAATGTCTAATTGTTACTGTAAAAAAGAGAGGAGAGTAAAGGGGACCAAGGGATATAACCGCAGGTATGTTCGAGAGTGTAGGATGGAAAACCATATAACTGAGCTTTTGTTGGATCACTGAACGGAACTGTCTCCAATTCCACTGTATGAATGTTCACATTATATGCTTTAATTTAGTGATATGGACAACTGTTTCTGGGAAGATAATGTGTAGCCTGTTAACTGGTGATTTTGTACTGTATATTTTTTTTCTAGAAATACTGTATTATTTGTACCCTTTTACTGCATTGATTTTTTTATGTCCTTTCTTTTTTTTTCTTTTTTTTTTTCTTCTCTCTTTAAATAAAAAAAAAGTAAAAAGTAACAATACGCATTAAGGCTTGCTTTTGTTTTTAGACTATAATCCCAAAAACAGAAGGACTTTTACCTTGTATTTAATTGTTTGATGACAAGGAATTGATTTTTTTTCCTTGGTCTCCTGAATGAGCTTCTTATATTCCTCAATCTATGTAAAAAACACATTCAGAACTAAGTAACAGAAGTCACTGTGCTACTAAAACCTTGGTCCAAGGAAGCAAGCAGAGCATTCGCTTTATACATGATGGTGAGTAAGATCTGGAGGGCTCAGGGGAAATGATGAAGCGAGAACATAGGCCTTCAAAATACCATAATAACTGAGCTACACCACAGACACGCTAGAGGAGGGGCCGTGAAACAGGTTCTACCTTCTGTTTATAACTTGACATTTTTTGGACAAGTTCTGCATTGTCCTTTGTGGTATTCTTCAGCTTCTCAGCAATCTGCTGTTCAGTGACTATAAAAAGAGGAAAAAGCCAGTGTTAGGAGCACTAAATGGAACTGAGTTGCACAGTGTCTCAGCAGCAAGGACTCGTGTGAGGCTCCGTGAGAGACAGAGCTTCGCACAGCTATCTGCCTTTCCAGAGAGACCCGCAGCTAACAGCAACAGTGCACAGGACACTGTTAATCTTTAAGAAAACTATAGTAACACTTATTTTGATGAGATAGCAATTTACTGCAAATGCAGGAGATACAGTAAAGTGTTACATAGTTGGAGACACTCCCTTCACAAAAGGCACTTGTTCTCTGAAAATGGAATTACTTCAAATGAATGTCATTTGCAAAGAGAAATAGCATCTTCAGGCTACTGATCTACACTGCTGTCTCTCGAGCTCCTGTGCTGATAAACCTATAGGAACCGAGGTGTCCCTAGCACAGACACACTGTCCTCTCTCCACACCTGTGTGGTCCAGCCATGCTCGGTCTGCTCCATGTAAGCAGTCACCCCCCTGATCCCACATCTCCTATCTTAGACAGTACCATCATCCTCCCCGCTATACCATGGTAAGTAGCAACAGTAAAATGTGGAGCAGTTAGTAGTCAAATCAGACACCAAAGTCACTGTCTCCCCTAGCCTCCCAAACACCAACAGGAAGAGATTTACCTTGGTATATTCTCTCCTGGACCTAGAAGAGAAAGAGAGAATTAAATTTGATGTCAAACATTTGATTAAAAGAAATACATAGTTCCTAACACAAGTCAGGATCATAACCAAATGAAGTAACTGTTTGGTTCAGGATAAATCCATATAATTAAAAATGTATTATAAATAGCCTCTGATACAGAAGAACAGTAAGGAGTGTGTCTTACTTCACAGCTACACTCAGGTTTATGTGCCAGTACCAAGTGAACACCAAGCTTATGAGATGAGCCTTTGTCTTCAACAGTGAAATGCTTGTTTTTATAATATGCACATTATTGATTTACTTACTCAGAATTACTTGAAAATCCCGAACAGCAAGCATGCAAGTCTAGAAATGGTGACCATATGGAAGACTGGCGAGCGAGATTACCAGCATAACCTTTGCACTAAGATATGCCTCTCACTCACTGGAAGATATCTCAGAAACCCTATTTCAAGTGATCTATTGACTCCATTAAGAAGTAATCTAATACACCTCATCATCTGATATCCCCAGACCAAAAAAACAGTAATAAATCTAAGCAGAAGGGAAGATACCAGAATAACACAGAGAAATGACAGCTAATGGCTTCCAGGAAGAGCACAGACCCAGTTCTTCCTCCCAGTGACTTCTGGGGCCATAAATCCTAAACTGTAACTAATTAAATACCACAGCAGGGATCACTGCACTTCTCTGTAACACAGACTCTGTCTTTTCTTTCTGAGTGCTATTTAAAAAGTGTAGGACAGCAGAGCGCAGTGACCACGGGGGAGGCGGGGACAACTGTCCTCTCCAGGATCAGGAGTGGTGCCTCAGAGGCATGCGACCTCAGGAAGTGGGAGGAAGTGAGCCCAGGTGCAGGGTGTGAAGCTGCAGGGCTGAGCCTGAGAGCCCTGCTGGGGAGCAGCTGCAGGGGAGCAGAAGGAGGGGAGCAGGGGAAACAGCACGTTTTCACCCCCACACACTTCTGCTTACCCTTCCAGGTGTTCTTTCATGCAAGAAGCTGTTCAGTGAGATTCTAGAATTCCTTACAGGAATCTTTAATAAGGTGCTGTTTTAGGGTTGTTTTTGGTACCGGGGACAGGGCCTTCACAATGAACTACATTCTCAGCCTTCCCATTAATTCTTGAGACAGGCTCTTGGTAAGTGACCAAGTTTCTGAGGCTGGACTTAAACTTACAGTTCTCCTGCCTCAGCCTCCCTCTCTGTTGGGCGCAGGCGCTCAACATACTCCGCTCAGGACCAAGAGCCATGTCAGCTTCCGCAATGCGTTATGTCCCTCTCCAAATAAACTTCTCCGCGGCAACTAGTGATGTTTACTCCGTGGCAGCTTGTGATTGGCCACAGTCAGATAGGCAGCTTGTGATTGGCCACAGTCAGATATATAAGCCAGAACCCGCCTCAATAAAGCGGCAGTTACCTGTTACCCACAAGAGTGTCTCCTGTCTCATTGGGGGGCTGCGCCGGTCAACTGGTAGCCTGTACGGGGAACGCTGAGACCCTCTCTCCGACAGAACGGAGACAAGAACAGGTAAAACCGTCAAGCGCTGATAGCGGAGGCTACGCGGCGGGCGGGGGCTGACAGGTTAAACTGCTCAACGTTGGTAGCGGGGGCTACGCAACAGGCAGCGGGGGCTGCCGGGCCGGATAGCGGGGGCTATCGGGCAACCTTGGGCGGACGCGTCACAAGGGGCGTGGGGACTAAGCTGTCCCTGTTAAAAAAAAAAAAAAAGGAAATAAAAAGAAACTCTTGAAATTCCCGTTAACATGGGTAACAACACTGTTCAGCCGCTGTCAGTCGCTTTAAGCGACTTACTGAGAGAAAAGGGATTACAAATGAAATGAAAACAAATTCAAAACTTCCTCGATCAGGTCGATAAGGTAGCACCTTGGTTTGGTCCCACGGGGGTCTGTTACCATCCCCAGCTGGGATAAATTAGGGAGAGATCTTGACTTTGCAGCAGAAAATGGCCTCCTGGAGCCAGGAGTCAGACCCCTTTGGGCAGTAGTGAGGAGCTGCCTCGCAGACGCCTCTTGTCATGACCATATAAGGGCTGGCGCCATGGCGCTTGGTTACCATCAGGCAGAATCCTCCCGCGAGCAATCTCGTGAGCCCAGTGTCGCAGGCGAGGCGACCGCACCCAACCCAGAGAGTGAGGACTCGTCAGATAGTGAAAAGGAGGAAGAGGCACACAAAATGGCGGATGCAGCGGCCGCCGGAAAGGAGGAAGTTAGACACCCAAAGTCAGGCAAACTCAATTAACAGAATTGGTAACTATTTGCACCTGATCAACCTCAATTATCAACCTCAATTATCATTATAGAGGTCTTTAAGCAATACCCACAACCCTTTAACCTACTCTCAGACTCACATTATGTCATCAATGCCCTACAAGTGTTAGAGATCTCGGGCCCTATCAGGGAATCCTTTTTCTGTTGTTTGAAGCCACCACAAATATAACTTTTCTAAATTGCTCCACCGCAACCTGTTATATGTTACAATGTTGGGATAACACTACACTTTCAGCTGTCGTTATGCAGGTACCCCAGTTCGTACCGGTTCCAGTTATGGCAGACCCAGACGAGTTTCCTGTGATCCAGCTAGTGCACAATAAAAGAAATAGGCAGGAATAGGGGCTCTGGCTGCCATGGCTACACTTGCCACATTCGGCAGTCTACTTCTGCTCTGTCGGATTCGCAGACAAAGGAATAGGGACGAAGTATCAAACAAGCATTGCTGGCCGTGGAATCTGATCAAAGCCCGGCAGCATGGCTCGCCATGCTGTGATGCAGGTGTGGAGGAAAGCATCGCAGGGGGTGTCGTCCTTGGCCAGGAGACACCCCGGTCTCCAAGTCGATGAGCATGCAGGTTGGGCTCATAAAACAATACTCCCGCCCCCTCCAAAAGAGCACCAACGAGTAGTGAGGCACTGTCATGACTGCAGCGTGACACCTCACAAGGGGCACCGACCCCTGGAGACCCTGCGTCAGTTATAAAGAAAGGGGGAGATGTCGGGCACAGGCGCTCAACCTACTCCGCCCAGGACCAAGAGCCATGTCAGCTTCCGCAATGCGTTATGTCCCTCTCCAAATAAACTTCTCCGCGGCAACTAGTGATGTTTACTCTGTGGCAGCTTGTGATTGGCCACAGTCAGATAGGCAGCTTGTGATTGGCCACAGTCAGATATATAAGCCAGAACCCGCCTCAATAAAGCGGCAGTTACCTGTTACCCACAAGAGCATCTCCTGTCTCATTGGGGGGCTGCGCCGGTCACTCTCCACCAGAGCTGCAGGAATACACACACCACTATGCCTGATCTTGCCTTGACATTTCTACCATCTTACTGTATTTCTTGCCCTGTATGTTTCTACAACACAGTTTATCAACACCACAAGTCTGTTTCCACTTTTCCCACTTCACATTAAATTGTGAACTACCCAGGAACAAACTAAGCTAAGAGAAACCAACTGGAAACGCCATCTCGGTGCTATAACAGGAACAGATAAAATCTCAGCATGGAAGCTGGATCCTGCAACATTGAAAGCTGTGATTTCAATTTCCTGCTACCACTGCTGCATCCAAAGTGGCACTGCAGGGAGAGAGACATGCAAAAACTCTGAGAGTGGGAATCAGCAAAAGGAGTTGATAACAGGACTGGCAGGGTGCCCTGCATCCACCTGCAGTGAGTGAGCTGAATGGGCACCCTTCCATAGAGTAGGAGGCTTCAGCAAAGGGCAAACTGGGACCAGGCAGACTTGCCGGAACAGGATGTTGCATATTTAGTCGCATATTCTCCTCTGAAGCGGGATTGGTGGGGAGTGCCTGGCCTGGTGACACCGCTGACTAAGACCCAGTAGGCTAGCCCAAACCAGGTCCCAGTGCCTGGAGGTGCACCCTAGCAGTGAAGCCTGTGGTAGGTTGACCTGGAGGGGCGGGCCCTGCAGAGGCTCTTCAGGTCTGTGTCTCCCTACTACACTGCAGTGGGTGGGAACACCTAGCTGGTGCAATTCAAACAAACTGTAACAGACAAAGAGGGAAAAAAAAACCTGGGCCTCCTATATTTGCTTGTATGGAAGGAACAAAAAGTATGGGAAGAGGAAGCAACAAGAAAGCGTCCTCAGTCCCCAATCCTGAGAACACTGATCCAGGAAAGATGAACGCAAAGGAGAATGAGGAAAGAAAACATGCAATATCAGACACGGCACCAATAGACATAAAGCGATATCTCCGGAGCCTCATAGATGAGTGCAAAAGAGAAGTTTTTAACAAAATAAAGCAAGATATAAGTAGAATAATTAGAGAAATGCTAAGCACTGTCCAAGAAGAAACAGAGGGTGGACTGGAAGAACAGAAAAAAAGGGGAGAATTGTTTGATGGAGAAAATAGAGAAAACATAGAAAACATGAAGCAGGTTCAAAGAGATTACCAGGAAATAAAAAACTCTATTGAAAGCTGGCATAACAGCTTGAAAGAAATTAAGGATAGGTTACCCAAACTGGAGGGCAGATTTGTAATATGGGAGCATGAAATGAAAAGCTTTTTAAAAATAACAAGAAAACAAACAGCAATAATACAAAAGCTAGAAGATGACTAGAGGATCTATAACTTAAGAAGTAAGAACATAAAAGAAGAAGTAGGGACAAAAACAAATGGACTACAAAAACTATTCACAGAAATAATCAAAAAGAATTTCCCTAATTTAGCAAAAGGTCAAGATACTCAGATGTATGAGGCATACAGGACCCCAGTCACCTACAACCCAAACAGAGCTACACCCAGGCATATAATAATCAAAATTCCAGAAATCCAATATAAGAACAGAATGTTACAAGCTGTCAGAGACAAGAAACAGATCACTTACAAGGGAACACCCATCAGAATTACAGCAGACTTCTCGGCACAAACCATCAAATCATGAAGAGGGTGGGGGAAATTATTCAAGCTTTGAAAGATAATAATCTCCAGCCAAGATTGATATATCCTGCACACTGTCCCTAGAAATTGATGGAAAAACAAGGTGCTTCCAGGATAAAAAGGTAGCTCCACCAATTCAACTCTACAGAGAATACTACAGGATATTCTAAAAAAGGAAAATACCAAGATTCCAGAAACAGTGGCAGAGGCCACAATGAATGGAGCAGAAAGCAAAATGTAGAAGACAAACTGACAACAAATGACAGAAAAAGAGCTCAACAGAAATGAGGCAGAGAAGATTAGATTGTAGGAACAGCTATTTTGGAGAAAACAAGACATTATAATAGCTAGTGCTGATTTTATATCATCTTGTTTTGAAGTCCCATCAAGATTTTATTCTTCTGTCTCCATCGGCTTAACAGGTTGTATCTTATTGGATTTTATTATATGTGACAATATAAGCAAAAACTTTTGTAAACAAGGAGATTATATAGAAACCATTGTTCACTTTCTGATAGGTGGTTCTAAATACCCTGTAATACTGTCATTCTCTTGAATGGTTTTACATTGTCTTGATATGTTTGGTGCTGCAGTATACAAAGTTATACTCTAAGATTTCAAGGAAAGAAACACTATGGTAAATACTTTTATGTTAGGATATCTTGTGGTGAAACACTACTTTGCTTAAATGGTTATGCTTTGAACTGTGCTGTTTTGTTGTTATGCCCTCTTTTCTCTCAATCTCCTTTTTAGATTATTTAACTTTTCTTTTTTATCTTTTTAATTAAGGGAAAAATAAATAAAATATAGCAGGATATATTATACTAACCCATTTTGATTTCCTAGTAAGTTGATTTGAAACTCTGTATTGCCCTCACCATCTTGTTTTGACTCATTTTCCCCTATTCTGTTTTGCTTGATAGTACCAAGTTTGAAAGTATAGGCAACAACTATGAAGACAATAAGATTCATTATGGCACCCATTCTGGTTGACTATTATCTTCTTTTAAAGTCCTGTAATGTCTCCAATGTTTTGGTTTTATTCTTTACTGTTTTGCTCAATTTTATTATAAATGATGATATAGGCAATTCTTTTTAAGATAGCAAGTGGCAGTATGGTAACCATTGTTGATCACCTTGTATTTTGTTTTTACATTATGTATTATGTCCATCCTTTTGATTTGACTGACTCTGTTCTGTTATGTCACATTTGGTTTTACTCTCTTCAGAAAAAAGTAATAAGAACTGTGGGAGTAATAAAACCCAAAATGTGTAACTGTCATTGTACAAAAGAATGGAAAAGAAAGTGCTCTAAAGGATATAACTGCATATATATTTAAGTGTATAAGATAGATAACCATATTACTGAGTTTTGTTGGATCACTGAACACAACTGTTTGCAGTCTCACTGTTTGAAAGTCCACTTTATATGCTTTAATTTTGTAACTTGAATAACTATTTCTAAGATAACAATATGTAATCTATTAACTAGTGATCTCCTACTGTTTATTCTTTCTGAAATTCTGTATAACTTGTACCCTTTTCCTGTTTTTATTCTTTTCCTCTTTAGATAAAATTTTTAAAAAAAGAAATACACACAGCAATTATTCTGTTCTGTGGGTATAAATAAGGGCCAATGATAATAGAATGCTCGATGTATTCAGAAGTCAAAGAACAAGTTAATTCACTCACAGCAAGGACTGTCCTCCAGAAGAAAATGGCCAACGAAACGATTCCCAAACAGGCAGTGAACAACACAGGCTTCCAGGGGAGCCCATAAAAGTCAGGCCCGGGCTGCACATGCTCAGGCAAGGTAGCAGCCAGCTGAAAAGGGCGGGCACAAATAATGGAAACCTTAACAAAACTGGCAGAGCAATCACAAAGGATCATCACAGATACTCACAATCTCCTCTCAGTAGTCTAACCCAACTTCCAGGTGCCCTGATGAAACTGCGGGAAAGGGGATACCGGCAAGCTCGCGTTCTTGTCCGGTATGTGGTCTCTAAACTTAGGGAGTGAGTTGAGCCTATTTCCAGGTTGGCAACAGGCCCTTCTTCATCGCGGTGTCTCACACATGGCCAGAATGTGTCCGGATCATGCTTAGGTGAGCTGTTTTCTATTATTGCACACACACACACACACACACACACACACACGCACACGCACACGCACACACACACACACGCGCGCACACACACACACACACACACACACACACCCCACACATTGTAAATACATGACAGAAACGATCGGTTTATGCGGCTGCAAACAAAACCACAATGACAATGATCGCCACAAATCAGGCATCACTCCTCCAGGATGCTGTGTCTCAATTCACTGCACCCTTAGGCGCACACACAGGTGGCGGCGTGAACGAGGCTCCCAAGGCGATCGCTGCCTTCGCCCCAGGCCGCTTCCTCAGGACAGCCCGCCCCTCTGCCTTCCACACCCGCTCCTGCCTGCTGGTCGGGTACCTCTTCCGAGGGGACCCGCAGCCCGGCTCCCACCAGAGGGCGACCCGCGCCCCTCGCCCGGCCCTGGTTCCCGGCCTCACCCTCAGCAGCCGGGCTTCGAGGGCCGCGTACACACCTGCAGAGGCTGCAGCAGCTTGAGGATGACCGAGGACACGGTGACCGCGAGCCCAGTGGCTCACACCGCACCATCGCGAAGAACCACTCCCTGTGGATCAGGCTGGACCCGGCCAGAACCGGCTGTGGCAAGTGGTCCTTCCCAGAAGTGGCAGGGAGCAGGACTGCACAGCTACACCTTCCGCATCCTGCTGAGTTATGAGCCGTAAACCTCTGATGGGGAAGTCATCAGTGGATGAGATCTGAGGGTAGCAGAAAATGCCCCCGGACAGTCTGTTAGCTGCTTAGGTAAAAGTTCCTGTTCCAGTTCCTGTTACTACTGTCTCCTATAAACAGCTGGTCACTGTGATGCATACTGTAAAAACATATGATCAACATATGGCATTACAGCTGCCTTGTCCCCTCCATGTGAGCAGTGTCACCAGCTCAGTGTTCAAATACCCTCTAGATGAGGGGCACCCACCATTTGTCCATCACGTCATTATTCAGGGGTACACAACACATGTAGAAAGCCAGAAATCAGAACTAATTAATCAAAACTCACAGTCTCTAACTGCAGGAAAAAGGGCCTTTCTGAGACTACAGAGTTTAAAATGAAACCAAACAACTCAAACAAATAAAAGGGGAAAAAAGGCCCATTCTTCCTGAGAATTCCACTTCGGCACCTTTGTCTGCTACCACAGTCCCTGCCAACACTTTCCACACATCTACTGCCAGCCAGTTGAACTGGTTGCAGTTTGATCAGTCATTTCCTGTGCTTGTCCATGAACCCCTGCTCCAGATGGGCCCATCCTGGTCACATGACATCATCTAATGCCCACTTGAGATGACTGTCAGCAACTCCTTCTGAGTTACACATTTTGACAAGGGAAAAGTGGAGTGTCAGCCCTCATGAATGAGCTCCCATGATCTTTGCCAAAAATTGCCACATCTAGAAGCTATAAATCAGTCAAGTGTGTTTCAAGAACATCAAACAGGGAGAACAAGAAGCCCATCAATATGTCAAAAGTTACCAGAGTTACCCAGAAGCCTGGTATAAGTACTATGGACACTAAAAAATAATTTCCCTTTCTGATTGAGAGATAAAGGCTCTCAAAAGCTTCCATGTCTGTATTTGGTATCAATCTATGACTTTCGTGGTGATCCATATAACTGAGCTCCCTGCATTCAAAAGTCCCTTCTTTCAAAAATTCACCATCATAAGGGCTATGAGACCCTTGCTTCTTGTCTTTTATGCCAAGCACAACCTTGGAGCCTGGCATACCAAACATGAATTCTTATATCAGAGAGTCCTCTTACCATCTGAGAAGAGACCTCCTCATCAAATTAAAAGTGACCATCTCTTTGCAGCAAGCCAGTCAGCTTCTCTCTTTTTCAACCCCGCACTTTCTCCAGGAGGAAGCTGATGCTTGCATCAGCCTGAGGCAGATAACCATAATCCTGAAATTCTGAAAACTCTCCTTCCAGAGATAGAGATCAAAGACTCACCTCCCACCTGGACATCAACTCCACCACCACAACTCTGCACTGTGTTTCCCAACCCATTATACTCTTCTTGAAAATGAAAAGAAAAAAATAATGCCTTATAAAAATACCAACTCATCTGAATTCAATTGCTACAAAGGTTTGGGGAATTTCCCATTATTTTCAGGGAGGTTCTAGCAACATTCAAGCCACCAGCACCTTTTCCTTGAGATGGCCTGGCTCTCTGTCACTTCCAACACCATCATGGTTACCCAAGAATGAAAAAATAAATGAGGCTTCATGCATCTACAAGGTGGAACTGTTAAAATGAATCCCTCCTATAAAACCAGTTCAGGACCTCTGAGCTGCCAAATGCTACCATGATTGAATGTTTTCTTCTGTCTTCAGTTGGCTCCTGTCAGCCAACCCTTCTTCACCTTTAAATGGCAAGATCCCAGTTCTGAACTCAAATCTCAACTGGTCTGGACTGAACCTCCCAGGGTTCAAAAGCTTGTTTAGCCTCTTTGGAGAAGCCCTTACAGCCAACCTCACTAGTTTCCCAGCACAAAATATTCCTGCACTTATGATTAATGACACCCAAGGTGCCTGCGGGAAAGGCACTAAATCTCTGCTGTAATATCTGGCAGAAATTGATTACAAGAAAGAACCTCTACAAATTTCTTGGAGCTCTGGCTTCCATAGAATCTGGACCCTGGGTTTCACAAAAACAATGGTGCATATGCAGACTGTCAGCCCCTGTGAGTGCCCAGTGGCTCCCTGTGCAAATACCTGGATCAGATTGTAAGGGCTACTGCCCACCTTTGCCCGCACTCTAGCAGCCATATCCTTCTGATCAAAAAAGCTGACAAACTCATCTTAGGCCAAGACATGACTGCTCAGGTGCCACATGCTGCACTGAACCTCCTGAGTAACTGAGAACCACTTGATCCTGCCATGTACCTGCACACAGCGCTGGGACCACGAGACCACAACAGACAGGCACTGACTGACGAACCTCTTCTCAAGTGACCAGACTTAAACATGAATCCACTGACAGATGCTGAGGATATTCTGGCAGGCTAGACATGCAATGGTTGCCTTGGACAAAGATATTTTGGGCAAAGCTTCCCTGCTACTGTTTATACTTGCTGTTTGGAAATCTGTTACTGGCAACTTCAAACTTGCACTCAAAAGAGTTTAGTTCAGAGGCCTAAGTCCTTTCTGGAAATTTGATTGGCTGAAACATCAGTTCCAGCCAGAAAACCTTTACCCAGTACTCCTGGAAGATGCATCTTAATCAGAGCCAGAGCTGCCCCACCACAGGTTCTGCAAGCTCAAGTCACAATGCTGGCAGCTATATCATCTGTGTCATGAGCCCTGACCTCCAACGGATGGGCAGAGAGACTTAGTGCCCATCTGCATTCCTCAGTCTGACCTGAGGCATTCCCTATCTGAGCTGAGAGAGCAATAAGTTTGTAGGGTCCTGCTGAAAAAAAATCATCCCTAGATATGGCCTTGATCACTGGCAGCAACAATAGCCCTGCATTGGTAGCAGACATAACCAAATAGAAACTACACACAGCATACAGGCCACAAAGTTCTAACAAAGTTAAGAAACATAACCTTAGCCGGGTGTGGTGACACACGCCTGTAATCCCAGCACTTGAGAGGTTGAGGCAGGAGAATAGTTGCAAGTTCCAGCCCAGCCTGGGCTACAAACTGAGCTCAAGGCCAGCATGAACTGCATTGCGAGCCCCTATCTCAAACACACACACACACACACACACAAGAAACTTTACCCTACAGAAATAGCTTCATAAGTATTTAGCTAAAAGACATGTTATACCCAGAGACATGCTGTAGACACATGGAATCCACGTACATATTCATTACCTCTGCAACTTTCAGAAACCTAGCCTTAATCCACCATCCCAGAGTCCTGCTGAATTTCTGGAGAGTTTACCTGGACCAGATAGCTACTCTGAAGTGCACCCAAAAGAATCAACACACTCACATCCCTGCTCTGGTCACTCCAAACACTGACCAGGCCATGCACAACTGAAGCATGAAGCCACCATTCTCAGGATTGCTCCACACCTCCATGTATTAGTCGCCTTGACTTTTCTGCCTTTTCCGGCTGCTTACACCAGCCCTTGTTTTCATTGCAGACTGCATTTTTGCCTTAGCACTATGATCTTCAGAGAATAAGAAATAACCAGTAAAATTTTCCAATCTTGTGGAACTTGGCTATGGCCCATCCTGGGATCACTGATAACTCTAATGTTATTGCTTCTAGTTGGGACTTGTCTCAAAATATCACATGTAACACGCCCAGAAGAAATTTGTCAGGGAGACTAAAAGAGGGTAGAAATGTAGCAGGAAATGCCCTGCCCCGGCCATTCTATTAGTTGCCAAGGTACTATTTTCCTTTACACTTCTGTCACTAGTGTCTCCTGGAAAAGACAGTTCACTGGGATACATACTGTAAAAACTGATTAAATACAGCAAAATACTCTGCTTCTTGCTTGCAACCCCATAAAACCTCCTTCCCTGAACCTTTATCATCTGACATTATTTTTATTTTTTCAGTGTATCTTAATTATTATGTACACACCCATATACATATACTGTCCCTTTCATCTTCTCACATTAATGAGACAATCCGATGTTTACACATGGATGCCTGGTTAATTTCACTTATGAATATGGTCTGAAATTGCATCCATTTCCCTATAAAAGTCTCAAGTTTGTTCTTCCTCATGGCTGAGTAGTACTCCATTTTACAAAATTACATCTTTTTTTAAATCCATTTCTCAGTCGATAGGCATTTAGGTCATTTCCAAGATCTAGCTATTACAGAGGAGATTGAATGTATTCAGGGTGGGATGAGTAAGAGTGTTGATAGTGGACATGCTTATCTTGTTCATGATTTTAGAGAGATAGCTTTCAGGTATTGCCCATTTAGCATGATGTTAGCTGTTGATTTGTCATAGATGGCTCTTATCAAAATAAGTTAAAGACCATCTATTGTAATTTTCTGTAGGATTTTTTATTATGAATGGGTGCTGGACTTTGTCAAAAGCTTTTTCTGCATCTGTTGAGATGATCATATGGTTTTTGTCTTTGATTCTGTTAATATGCTGTATTAAGTTGTTGATTTCTGCATGTTGAACCAATCCTATGTCCCTGGGATGAATCTCACTTGATCATGGTGTATATAAACTTGATGATTTGCTGCATTCTGTTTGCCAGTATTTTATTGAGGATTTTTGGATGTATGTTCATCAGGGAAATTGGCCTGTAATTCTTTTTCTTAGTTAGATCTTTCTGTAGTTCTGGTAGCATGGTAATGCTTCCTTCCAGGAATGAATTTTGGAGTATTGCTTCATTTTCAATTTAATTAAAGAGACTGAGAAGCAGTGGTATTAATAGTTTTATAAATTTCTTATGGAACTCAGCAGTGAATCCCTCTGGGCCAGAATTTTTCTTTGTTGATAGACTTTTAATTACATTTTCAATTTCCTCTATTGATATTGGGTTATTTAGGATTTTCACATCTCCTTGATTCAGCATTAGTAATATGTATATAAGAATCTATTACTTCTGTATTT